TTCTCAACCTACTCAAGTTATCGTGTTTACAGACACACACACACACACACATACATACATACACGAACACACAGACATACGGACAAGATGGCAAAACTATGTTTTTCCGACTCAGGGAGATCTAAAACGTCGAGATTTATAAAAATCTCGAAAAAAATTGTGCACGATTACAAGACTTTCTCTATACTTCGTATATACGAGGAAGTAAAAATGAATCTTTTTTTTTCGAAATTATCCATGTTAATTTTTGTAGTCACTCATCTAGATATTAAACGCTTTAAGAATAACACACTACGGAGATCAAGCCCAGTTTTTTAATGTCTTTTATTACAACGGTCCGTCCGCTGGCCGCTATCACTTGCAGAGGCACAGAATCCGTTTGAGCTTAATGTATTAGATATAAGCAAAAAAATGTAGTTTCATTATCAGTTTTAATTTTGAAACATGTAACTCGCATTTTTCCAGCTTGCTTTAACTTGTTGAGGATTATTTTTTTTTTATTTCTAAATTGTTTAGGATCTAAAATCATAACAGGATAATTCAATATTATTAGTTTTGAAATATAACAGCAATTTTGGGAACTTTTATTCTTATTGTATATAATTATCCACTTCAGATGCTGAAATGTAGTATAAAATAAATCTTGTATCAAACTCCATTACATAGTGTAAGGTCTTCTAAACAAGAACTGAATATTAAAGGACTTCTAAAATTGCCCATATAAATGATTAACAACCCCTGTATGTAAATTGATTGTTTACTATATTACTGTTCGTTTAGAGGTAAACATGTTTGCTTGCTACAGGAGTGGAATAGGTAATACGAACCGTTAAGAGCATAGAACCCGTTTATTGTTATTCTTTTCGGGCGAAAACAACTAATATTAGGTTAGTAGCTGCTCTATGGTGTCTAAAAACTGCTCAAATCAGGAAGTAAATTATAAACAACTAGCTTGCATGTTGTTTTTGCTTCCATCGCAGAAGAAAAAAACAAATGAAAAAACTTGTTATGATAACATATAGTTGATGCCAATGGTGTATTTTTAGACGCATGAACTTGTTTACTTACATTCTTATCTGTGTAGTGATTGGTTCATTTAATACTGGATGCTAATTTAAATAAAAATAAAAGTAGATTTATCTGCGCAGTAACGCATACATGGTTAATGGGAAAATGTCAATATTGCAAAACATAAACCTTAATTCCAAGATGCAGTTCTAATATCGGTTATAATTAGATACCAAACTTACTATTTTCTATTATTTAAAACTCCAGCTATTAAAATGAAAACCATGACAGCACTTCCAAAAGAAAAAAGAAAAAGAAGATACAAACGTGCACAGCATAACATTACTGATTTTTAAATGCTCAAAGCTAAGCTTAACACTTACCATTGATAATATGTGCTTTAAATGTAAAGATGGATTATTGTTATTATAATTTACGAAATAAATTGTTTTTTAATTATTCTAAAGTTTTAAATTTTCGTTGAAAGAAATCCTCACCCCCTTATCCCACTTATTACAGTTCTTGTCGTAGTCAAAAAAAGATAACCCATTCAAACTTTTTTTTTTAATAAATGCATAAGGCAGGGGTCGGCAACCTGCGGCTCGCGAGTTGCATGAGGCTCTTTTGATATCAAGAAGCGGCTCTCCAGCTCCTTGCACAAATACTACAATTTATATTATTTCATTTTCAAAACTCATAACAAAAATTATACTTTAAAGAAACATAAGTTTAAACAGAAGAAACAAATTATCAGAGAACAGTAAGAAAAGATGCAGTAGAGTGGCTAGAGAGTATACGAACAGCTGACAGCCGCTTGGGCATCAGGCCCAGCCCCACATCCGTGCTGGGAACAGCCACGTGGCAACAATTCCATGCCTACCACTGCCCAAGTGCCGACTTTATCATATAACGTTAAATGGGGGGTGTTATTTTATTCAGAATGCATTTCCCTATCCGTCAGTAATCATTAATTTGACGTGAGTGATGTAGTTTTTTTTTAGTAATTAGCTTTCTACTGTTGAGCCGGGTACTGGACGGTGGGGTACGAGTTTACCCTGCGTTCAGTTGGGTGGAAAATAACCCTGGTGAGAACCAAAGAATTTACCGATACACGGTAATGAAACCCATATCCAAGCCAGTTTGTCAGGGAGTTTGCCGTGTTGAGGTATGCCTGGCAAATGGGAGACACCCCCCTGAGCCGGTTATGTCCGTAAGGAAAGAAAAAATTTAACTGCTTCTAAAGTCCAAATTTTTTTATTTTTTGATAAATAATTTTATTATTCTGGCGAAACAAGCGTATGTTTTTATATGAATAAATATTATTTCATAAATGAAGCTTTTTATTTTAAACAACAAATCATTTTTTTAAAACTAATCTTAATAAAAAAAAAATATTTGAAATAAAAAAATGTTAGTGCCTCTTTAAAACCAGGGAAATTTTAAAAAATGTAACGTTTGGCTCTTCCGCTTCATAAGGTAATAGAAACGCTTCTTACTTTTTACTTTCACGTATATACGAAGTATAGAGAAAGTCTTGTAATCGTGCACAAAAATCACATTAACACATTTAAAAAGTTTAAGTAATTAAAAAAAAATGATTTTTAAAAATTCATAAAAACGTTTTAAAAACAAAGTTTTATATACGAATTCATTAAAAAGTAGAAAACAAATGAGTTTCATTAAATATATAGTAATACTCTACTGTTTAAATAACTATAAAGAAAAGCGTAGGTTTTTTTGTTGTTTTTATTGGATACTTTTACTAATATTTACGAGACCCACGTTTTTCTTTGTAGTTATGTAAGTAGTGTATTACTATATATTTAAAGAAACTCATTTATTTTCTACTTGCTAGTGCGTTAGTATATAGGAGCTTTTTTTTACAAACTTTTATTATTAAAACGTTTTTTATGAAAAAAATTTCCGTACTTTACATTTTTTAATGCAATAAATTTGCATGACTAAAAACCATTGCGCACCTATTGAACGTGATGACACTTATCTAATTGTGCGGAATAGTTTGATGCAAAAGCCTACTAATTTGGACAACATTTTAACTAATTCATAAAAAATGTATCAGGCAACCAATTAAGTGAAGTTTAATGTCATATTGCATTGACTTCATGTCTTGACCCACGTACCAAATACGAACCGTATCTGTCAGCTATAAGTGCCTGCAATTTCGCTCAGGCGTTTCGATCTAGACAGACAGACTAACGACAAACTGACGAAAGAGGAAGTGAGTTAAATAAAAGCTTGTAAAAATCATGTCTGTATCCGAGTTGCCATCCCCCGTAGTATCATATAAGAATATTCGAGAAAGTTTAGGGGAAATCACTCCCGATTTTTTAAAGTGTTGGGATTACTTTATGTTTCTTTATAATGTAACCATTCAGAGTAGATTGCTTTTATTTTTATTATTTGTTAAATATTTTAAGTTGACGGCTATAACAATATTTGATTTGATTGTATATATATATATAAATAAACATAATTGTTTAATTCAGGGGTCTCCAAACTTTTCAGCCCAAGTGCCGCATTAACATTCAAATATAATTTCGGGGGCCAGAGTTTCTTCCAGGCATCTCTTTGGGGTGGCAGAGCCCTCTCCCCCCTCCTGAAGAACGTCTACCCCCTACAACGGAATATATATATATATATATAAATATATATGTATATATATATATATATATATATATATATATATATATATATATATATATATATATATATATATATATATATATATATATATATATATATATATATATATATATATATATAAAGTGCCCCCACCCGAGAAAAAGTCTAAAAGAAACACTGTCTGCGACAGTGTCCTCAAATTGTTCTTCACGTAGGCCTACTTTATTCTTGATAAAGTTTGTATGTTTTTCCAAAATTTGAAAGGTACTTTGATGCAAAAGGTCTAATATTAGGAAAGTCTTCCTTGGGCAAATACTTATAAAACTCGCCCGCCCCTATTCGATATTGCTGGGCAACTGGCCACATTTATTTCAATGTTAGTTGCACCAAATGCTACATTTTCAGTTTGTTTTGAATTTTTTCTCAGCCACTTCTAACAAGCCATTTATTTTTGTAGACAAAAATATCTCCGTGGACCGGATGAGAGGACCTCGAGGGCCGTATACGGTCCGCGGGCCGTAGTTTGGAGACCCCTGGTTTAATTGGTCCGTAAAAACAATACAAGTGTTTAATTAATTAATGCATTTATAATTAAATTTATTTATTGATTATAATCCCGTATGCGTCTAAACAGTTGTGGATTCTAAGATCCTTAACTACGCCACTGCTCAAAGCTATATTTTAAAAACACACTCTATGTTAAACAGGAAATAAATTCCAACCGTGTTTTCCAGTTCTATATTTACACCAGCCACCACTTTCCTTTGTTGATATATGTTTTGAAATATGTGTATGTTTTTTGTCGAACTAAGGTCTACAAATAGCCAAGAGGTTGTAGTCAGTTTGCTGAAGTTAATAACCACATGATTTCAATTCATTAAAAAAACTTTTATATGTGTAAAGTATAAGCGTGTGTGTAATATAAAACTCACAAGTAGATTGCACGTTTAAAAAGCTAAAATTTAATTAAGGTAATGATGTATATTACATTTTGGGTTTAAATTCATATGAAATGTCTATACTTGACAGAAACAACTTTATTTTGAAGCGTAGAGGAACAAACGACAAGCATACAATAAATCAGCAGCTACTGCTACATGTGCTATTTCATAACCCTTCAATACACTGATCGTAGTGCTTTCAACTGCCACCGGCGTCATAAAGCCAACTTTCCCACCAATGTTTTGAAAACAACTAACAATAAATCATGCTGTTTCACTACCGTCGTTATTTCAACGTGGTGGCTGATTTGGTGTAAATAGACAGCGTTTCCGTTGCACCTGATTTTTTTCGTCTTCTAATACCTGGCCAGGTAACCTACTTCAAAATTTCGGGTTTGACAAGCCGCACAAGGAACGAAGTTTAGATATCGTATTATTTTCGAGGTCTGTGGTTCAATACGCCATCATCATACCCACGTAAGTGATTTAATTTGTGATACAATGTGTTTATGTAATTACCTAATGTATATAATACACATTTGACAATTGTTTATTATCTATATTAACATGAGTTAATAATGTGCTTGATGCATATTTGAAAGCCAGTTTATTATTCTTTAAAAATATAGTATAACTGGAGTGTAAAACCATTTTAAACGTATTATCAAATAAAAATAATATTTGATTTTGCTGCTCCTAGTCTATCTATATACTACTAAAAGTCAAAAGTTTGTATATTTATATAATTATTTATTATTTATTTATTTATTTTGTTTGTATGCTCCGCTTGATCAGAGCATTTGTATTAAGTGTAGAACTGTAAAATACGTATTTATGTAAGGAATAAGGATTTAGTTTCTCCAAAATGTTATAGATATATACAAAGATGATAATTAATGCATTAATATATTCATTTGTAGAAACACCTCTTTAATTATAAAAGTTCAGAACAAATACTTTATTTAGTTATTTTCAAAACAAATATTACTTCCATAGAAGATCATGTTGCCTATTCAAAATATTAATGCACTATACAGCTAAATTTTCTGTCGGCTGTAGCTTTAACAATACGTCTATTTGTTATTTTTATAAGGTTCAAACACTACTATCCATTTTCAATAGGATACGCTTGATAGTTCTTCTAATTTGAGTCATCAATAAATTTTTCTAGATCAACCGATAAATTAGATTTAAACAGTTGGAGGAAAGTAGACCAAAACAAAATTAGTTTAAAAAAAAGTATAAATACACAATAAATAATGACCCCAGTAGTAATTGACAGAGGGTAATAGTTCCGAAAGGGTGGGATAGTGAAAGGTGTATTGTCTGACGGAAAAGGGAGGGGGAGGGCGGAGGGTTAATGCACTTCTCTCTTCAAATCACAATCCCATTAACACCTGTCAATAAACCCACCTCCCAAGTTTACTACCTTTGGTCAAAATATCAGAGTAGGACAAAGCTTCGATGGAGTGGCGAATTAAGGTGGGAGGGCGGAGAGGGCTACAGTCAAGGACCCCCGATTTTTAGGGGCCTCAAAATGCCCTTTTCCAATCATAGTAAATTTCACTTTAAAGTGAAATTGTTGGGGTTTTTTTTAGTATAAAAACCAATGTTTTAATATGTGAATCATAAGCTTATTTCAATCGTTTTTCAAAATTTCAAACTTGAGCACACACTTTTGTATAATAATACCAGCTGTCATCACCTCCTATCCATACATTGTTTACATAAAGCCGAAGCTCGATAAAATAAATAGCCAGGGCAGCTTTCACTCATGACAATAAAAGTGGCTAATTTTAGAGTTAAAAACACAAACAGTGGTCGAATTCTGACACATGAGTCTGTAATTGACGCCTTTTGAAAAATGCACAGCACTGGAAAGTTATTTAGTAAGATAAAGTCAGATTAGGTAGTGATGTGGTATCCAAAATTAAAATAATACAAATGTTAGGCAAAGGTCTCACACTGAATTAGGTCTCACTCGCAAGCATCCAGACAAGCAACATTAGTGACCAGCCTTAACAATCAATGAAAAACTGCGTGACCGTTTTTGCTTACCCACTACTAAGAAAGGTATTAAAGATGCTTTACTTTTTTTGTTATTAGAAGCGAGGTTTTGGATATTCATTTTTTAGGTACAAGATATCTAGATCACGGGTTCCCAACCTGGGGGTCGCGAAGGGCTTTCTGGGGGGTCGCCAATTGGTATACTAAACCTTAGTAATTTGAAATAAAACATAAATATTTAGAAGAATTTTTGAAATTCGGCTTTACTAACATCACTGGAAAGGGAATAGAGAAGAAGCAAAGCGTACTGTACAAAGTTGTTCTCAGTCACGAGTTTATGAAATCTTCATTTGAAACACACCAAAAAAGATATGGAGTTCTTTCTTCGGCATAAAGCTAGTTGCAAACGTCAGAGACTTGATCGAACAGGAAGTTTTCACAAAGGAAACACAGCATTAGTGCAAGCATCACATGAAGTCGCGACAGAAAATGCCAAGCAAAAACAAACACAATAGAAGAAAATCTCATCAAACGCTGCATGTTGAAGATTGTGAAGTTAATTCTTACATATCCGTAGATGTTAAATAACACATTTTTATTGAAATTTCACCATTGTTTGCTTTTCAAGTTGATAAATCAACAGTCGTCAGTTCGTGTTCGCAGTTGCTGGTCTTTGTCTATATTCATTCAGATGATAGCAAAGAAGAGTTGCTCTTTTGTGAAGATAGCATGGAGAAAATAAATATTTTTTTTTAATTGGATGATTAAAATGGGTTAAAACGGCTGTGAGGGTTTGTGCGGATGGTGCACCATCTATGTTTAGGTCAAAATCGGGCTTTCAGAAAGCAGAAAAGATTTAGCTCCCTAACCACTACCCTCACCAATCGCCATCAAGACTCCATTGCTGGTATAAATGGTAAATTATATATAATCTGGAGCCTTCAAAGAACTGAGCAAAGACCTGAATTAAGATCACGAGGTTCTGCTCTTCTACACTACAGTGCGCTGGCTGTCAAAGGAATTGTTGTGAATCGTGTTTTTGAATTGAAATTTGAAATCAAATTGTTCTTGGAAATGCAAAGGAAACAAGACCTTTTGGTATACTTAAAACGACATGGAGTGGTTGGAGAGAGTATCATACCTAGCAGATGTGTTCGAACATCAACATAAGCATAACCTGAAGCTTCAGGGAAAATGAACGAATATTATCACTTTCCATGATTATCTCGGGGCATTTTATCAAAGCTGCAAAATCGGCAAAGAACATAAATCTTGGAAATATTGTAAATTTGAGAAACTCTGCAGTGTGGTAGATGAATCTAATTGTGAGATAATTAAACTTTTGAAAGAAGAAATTTCTGGACATCTTGAATCAAGTGAAAACGAACTGCATCGCTATTTCTCTGAGCTGAAAAAAAAAGAATCTGCATTGACGCATTATCCATTCTCTTCTTCCCTCGATGTTGCCAGCATTCACGATGAATTACAAGATGAATTATTTGATTTGTAGAATGATTCCGCGTAAGATGAAAAACTGCAGACACAATTTTGGTGTAGTATTCACCATTCATACCCAAACGTAAAATTGATTGACTTTTCGAGAATAGATTTTCAACATTATTTTTCGATTAAAAACAAAATTAAGATAATGATAATGACATAGGTTGTCGTTAACAACAAAAAAAACTTTAAAAAAAAAATTAACCGCGAATGTTTAGTGAATAATATGCAATTTTACTCATGGTATTAAAACAGTTATCAAGAGTAGTTCATATATAAAATCTACTAGAAAATGTTATTTTAGTGCTTATTAATTTCAATACTAATTTCGGCTTTTTAATTCTATGAGGGTCGCAGGTCACTTAATTTTTATAAAAGGGGGTCGCCACTCGAAAAAGGTTGGGAACCACTGATCTAGATCTAGCTCTTTTTTTATTTCTTTTAGGTACAGGATATCTAGATCTAGTTATGTGGATTAAAACTCTTTAGATTAATTTATTGCGCATTGAGGCATAGGGAATATTGGGTAATTCACATATTTAGTTGTTCTCAGCAAATGAGACATTCTGATCAGTTCTAGATTTACGCCTAGTCTCAGTCAGTAGTTTTATAAATATGAGATTGATCTGTGTTGGGTGTTCTCGGATTTGAGCCTGGAAACTTCTTCTTCTTCTTCTTCGTTCTTAATTATTAGTGTTGAAGGGGATCGAGATTTATCTGCCAGTGGGTTTGAACTCGAGACTTTGTTCGAATTTATCAACCATGAGCTTTTTGCCGACTCGACCACGCCCCCAACACAATTAAGCGTTACGTGTCAATTGGTTATGCGCCATTGAGGCCATTGACTCCGATTTCAGCCTGCTTTTCTTTTTGGATTTGCTTCCATAGCCTTTGTCCAACCAAGAACAAGCTACAAGGCAGCAGTTGTTTAATTTTGGAGTTGTCTCTCCTAGAAGAGTGGCTGTCCCCAGCTAACGAGCCTCATCTGCCCGAGGGTTCGAACTCCAGACTTTTCGGTTTAGCAACCATGAGCTTTACCGACTCGACCACGCCGACCCCAGCCTGGAAACAAAGCTCATGACTTTTTGGTCAGCAGTCGTGCTTTCTACCACCTATTGTACACTCGTAACTTTTAAGTTTTTAATATCACAATAGGCCACAAACCATTAGGCTTAATTAACTAGCTTGTAATTTCTTTAGCGACTAAGATAGATTTATCTTAAGAATATAATAAATCATCAACTTATGATGCTAAAACTTTAGACAAATGTGGATACGTGGTAGTTGTGGTAAGTGTTAGGTTTAAAGTTAGAGTTGGCTAGTTAAATGAGACTGGGGTGGGGAAAACAATGAGAGTAATTAACAGGTTTATGGTTATTTTCAAAACTGCCAGTAATGATAACTATTCGCAAAATCTCAACACAGCCCACACATACAAAAGAGTGGAGCTGGGTGCATTTTGAATAGACTGAATCAGCAGGTTCGCAAAATTGTGAATTGACTAGGTTGCGTTCTGGTTAAAGCACGTAAGGCTGTATCAATGTGCCTGAATAACCATTGAACACAAGTGACGCGGTATCAACACATCAATCCAGAGAGTGCTGGAGACTGTTCGACCTACATATTTAAATGTGTTATTTCCCTAAGTAAATAATTTTCTTTAAGCACGTAACACATTTATAGCTATGGGTTTTAATGTAGGTTTGCTTATTTATACTTGTATTAGTATGTTGGTTCTGTTTATCCTCAATTTAAGCCCCGACATTATATAATCACATTTTCTTTTTTTTCAAGTACGAAACAATTGACAGGAGTGTAACTAATAAAGATATACATGTTTCTATCAAACACTTCTTTCTGATTGTAGACCCATGACGTCATTCAAGGGGTGCGAGAAGTCACTGACGGTCAGGTATATCAATGTCATTTTGCTGGTCACCCTGTTGTATCAAGTATGTCAGTCAATCGACGCTGTTAGTTTTAAAATAAATGTTCCTGAAAACCTGGACTCTAATGTCAAAATGGTATGGATTTTAAAAAAAAACAACCAGTTTCAATATAAATATTGAGACAATTAACAATTTTTAAAATTAAATGTTTATTTGTGTATAAAAGATGATGCAGCACACAACATAACACATCACATATGTAGGCCCTACATAGCATATAGCGAACAACATATTACACGTACACGTACACGTGCACGTACACGTACACTTACACGTACACGTACACGTACACGTATACGTACACGTACACGTACACGTACACGTACACGTGCACGTACGCGTACACGTACACGTACACGTACACGTACACGTACACGTACACGTACACGTACACGTACACGTACACGTACACGTACACGTACACGTACACGTACACGTACACGTACACGTACACGTACACGTACACGTACACGTACACGTACACGTACACGTACACGTACACGTACACGTACACGTACACGTACACGTACACGTACACGTACACGTACACGTACACGTACACGTACACGTACACGTACACGTACACGTACACGTACACGTACACGTACACGTACACGTACACGTACACGTACACGTACACGTACACGTACACGTACACGTACACGTACACGTACACGTACACGTACACGTACACGTACACGTACACGTACACGTACACGTACACGTACACGTACACGTACACATAATGCGTGTTAGTCATCCACATCCACGGTGTTGGGCGCTTTCAAACGCTTTTTACAAAGATTTAAGTCCAATGAATAGCGGAGTAATGCATAAAAGACAAACCAACATAAAGGCACTAAGAAATACTGTGTGTGTGTGTGTGTATGTCACGTCAAAATAGCCATTGAAAAATTGTCTTTGATAGCCCCGTGAAATCGACCCCGTCAAGCGAGCCATCGAAAAATTAATCCCGTCATATAGGTTCCCGTCAAAAGGGCTCCCTGTAATAAGTGTCCCGACAAATAGGCTCCAGTCATTTAGGCAGCCGACTAAACGGCTTTCGTGTTTTTAGCACACAACAAAAAAGCTCCTGTTTTTTTTACTCCCGACAAAAGTATTCCTGTGAATACGGTTACTGTAGAGACTTAGTCTCCCGGCGAAACAGCCTCATTGTATATAACACCTTCCAAATGGCGTTCTTCCTCAAAACCATTTAGCTGAGCAAACACCCTTAAATATTACAACGTTTGTAGCTCTAGGTTGGGGGGCCTTATTTTATACTATTTTTATCTAATAACGGTAGCAACAGTAGACTCTGAAGTCTTTTACACATTGGCCGTTTTATTTCAAAACAGAAAAGCAACATTTTATTTTAAATAAACCAGGAGTGATCTCCCCTAAACTTTCTCGAATATTCTTATCTGATACTACGGGAGGTGGCACATCGCGATATAGACATAATTTTTACAAGCTTTTATTTAACTCACTTCCTCTGTCTGTCGTCAGTCGTCAGTCTGTCTTTCTAGATCGAAACGCCCGAGCGAAATCGCAGGCACTTCTACCTGACAGATACGGTTCGTAGTTGGTACATCGGTCAAGATATGAAGACAATGCATCATGACATTCAAAGTGACTTACTTGGTCGCCTGATTACTTTTTTATGAATTAATTACACATGTGACCAAATTAATAGACAGTCCCATCCAGCTACTCCAGACGCGTCATAACGTTAAATAGCGCGTCATCGCGTTCAATAGGAGCAAAATGGTTTTTCGTCATGTAACTCTATCTATCTCTATACTATCTATATACTACTAAATCTCAAATTTGTTTACATGTTTCAATATTTATTTGTTTGTTTTTTTGTTTGTCTGATTGACTACTGGAGAAAATCTGCTCTATGTGGAGAGCGGTAAAATAGTATGTAGGTAGAGAACAATGTTTCTTTTCAGACAGACTGTTAATCACAAATTTATTTTAAGACGTTAATTAATTTATTGATTAATTCATTGGTAGATTAACCACATTATTTTAAAAGTTTAGAAAAACGACTTTACTTTGAGTGAATTGTGACATCACATGATGTGTTTACTTTTTAGTACAATTAAATGGCGGCTTCTATCGAAGAAGATTGTGTTCCCATTCCAATGTTTAACGCGTTCTAAAGCTAATTTCCGTCGGCTATAACTTTAACAATACGTCCGTTTGCTGTATTTATTACGTTTCAACACTTATATCAATTTTCAACTGTCTATTTCATTCCATCAGCTGTCGAAAGAAGAAAAAGTTATGAATCTAGATCTAGATCTAGATCTAGAAGTCTAGATCTTGATCTAGGTCACTAGACTTATGTAAATTCTATATCTAAAATCTATTTCAGGCCTTAATTATTTTATATAAATCTTTGTTTGTTTAGCTATACAATTGGCTAATTTAAGATATAATTTAATTTGAAATAATTCTAGATCTAATTCTAGGGCCGAATCGCGTAGATTCTTGCGGGTGGCACTGGTTCGAGACATGTCAATGTGAATTTTTTTTTTAATTAATTAATTTATTTATTTTTTATTTTTTTTTGTTGTGAATGATAAAGTTGCCTTTTCCTATTGGAACTTAGTGGGATACAGGGCAGGTGAAGTAGAGTTCATCTGTTTCTTTGTCCTCAGTATATAACGTGGATTGTGTGGTCAGGGCCATGTTCGGCCGAAATTTTGTTTTTTAAAGATAAAACATGTTGTCTGAGACTTGGCGGAACACTGGGCATTTGAAGTAGTGTTGGGTAGGTGTAGAGTTCATCTGTGACTTCAAAATATGAAGTGATAGTGTAGTCAGACCCTTGCTCAGCCAAAAGCTGTGTTTTCAAAGACAAAATCATGTCTGAGTTGGAAGGACACTGGGCAAGTGAAGTAGAGTTGACCTGTTTTTGTGTCCTCAGCATATGAAGAGATTATGTTGTCAGACCCATGCTCAGACGAAATCAGTGTTTTTAAAAGACAAAAACGTCTGAGGTGTGAGTGTGACGCCTTTTTGAATGTGGGGTCTGGTTCTTTTGTGATAAGCGACAGACGTGATGTCATTTATGGATGACCCTCGAAACCCACAGTTATCTCACTAGATAACGGGTAGTCTATTGTACTACTAAAACTCAAGTTTGTTTACTTGTTTGAATATTTATTTATTTTTTTTTTTGTTTGTCTGATTGACTACTGGAGAGAATCTGCGCTATGTGGAGAGCGGTAAAATAGTATGTAGGTAGAGAACAATGTTTCTTTTCAGACAGACTGTTAATCACACATTTATTTAAAGACGTTAATTAATTTATTGATATAGTCATAGGTCGATTCACCACATTGATTTTAAAAGTTTAAAACATTGATTTTACTTTGTGACGTCACATCATTTGTTTACTTTTTAGTACAATAAATGGCGACTTCAATCCAAAATTTAGTTGCCGATTCAGATGTTTAACGCGTTCTTAAACTAATTTTCTGTCGGCTATAACTTTAACAATACGTCCGTTTGCTATTTTTATTACGTTTCAACACTATTGTCAATGTTTTAACACTTCTTTTTATTTTATTATACAATACATTTAATTTGAAATAATTCTAGATCTAATTATAGGGCTGATTCGCGTAGATTCTTACGCCGCTTAGAAGTAAAATATATAATTTAATAACTTCTCGAGAGTACGAGCCTAGATAGCTAAGAGGTTAGCACATTAGGTTACCATGTGGGTGGCATGGGTTCTAGACATGTCAGTCTTTTTTTTTATTTAATTTTTTTTTCAGTTGTGAATGATAATGTTGCCTTTGCCTATTGGAACTTAGCGAGATACAGGTTAGGTGAAGTAGAGTTCACCTGTTTCTTTGTCCTCAGTATATAACGTGGATAGTTTCATCAGAGCCATGCTGGGCCGGAAACTTTTTTTTTAAAGATAAAACATGTTGTCTGAGACTTGGCGGAACACTGCGCAGGTGAAGTAGTGTTGGGCAGGTGTAAAGTTCACTTGTGACGACAGCATATGAAGAGATGGTGTGGTCAGACCCACGCTCAGCCAAAATATGTGTTTTCACAGACAGAAACATGTCTGAGTTGGGAGGACACTGGGCAGGTGAAGTAGAGTTGACCTGTTCTTGTGACCTCAGCATATGATAAAATTATGTTGTCAGGCCCATGCTCAGACGAAGTCAGTGTTTTTAAAAGACAAAAACGTCTGAGGTGTGACGCCTTTTTGAAAGTGGGGTCTGGTTATTCTGTAATGATTAGTGACAGACGTGATGTCATTTATGGATGACCCTTGAAACCCACAGTTATCTGACCAGATAACGGGTAGTCGAGTTGTAAATAAAAACATGTAAAGTACTTTAAAAAATTTCATAATTTTTTTTAATAACAAGCTTTTGTGTAATAATGCACTAAAATGGAGAAAAAAAATTATACGCTACTATTTAAATAGCTATAAAGAAAAGCGTGGGTCTTTTCCTAAATATTAGTAAAGGTATCCAATAGATACTAAAGTGAACCAAGCTTTGCTTTATACTTATTTAAATAGTAGTGTATAATTTATTTTCTCCGTTTTAGTGCATTATTACATAGAAGCTTGTTATTAAAACGTTTTTTATGAATGTTTTAATCACTTAAACTTTTTAAAATAAAATAAAAATTTGTAGAAAAAAAATTGCACACACGCCTAACAAAATGTGCATAATAGTGCGGAATATTATCAGTACTTTATAAATTCACAGAGTTTTTTGAGAAATCGGAAATTACTACTTCCGGTAGACAAAAATTTGTCTAAATTTGACAGAAGGCAGAGAATTAGTTGTTTTACTTACATGTGAAATTTCATTTATCTATCTGAAATAGTACTCCAGGTATAGGCTTATGAAAAATTCAAAGTAGAAAAAGGTTTCTTTCCGGTTATTGGAAATCGCTCAAAAGTTGACACGTATCTACGATTTTGATATAATACTTATATATGAAATTTCATCAACCTAGCTGTAATGGTACTCAAGTTATCGTGTTTACAGACACATACACACACATACACACACACACACACATACACACACAGACACACGGACAAGAATGCAAAACTATGTTTTTCCGACTCAGGGAGATGTAAAACGTCGAGAATTGCAAAAATCTTTTTTTTTGCACGATTGCAAGACTTTATCTACACTTCGTATATACAAGAAAGTAAAAATCGATTAATATTAAAGACGCGGGCAGTAACATAGCATTTTAAAATTTGGAAAAATAAATCATGTTACATAGTTATTTTACACAATGGAATAGAATCTTAATATATAAAAGCCTATGTGCGCACTTCGCTCTCTCTCTCTCTCTCTGTCCGCAAAATATTTTCGCAGGCTATCACATCAGAATCTTTAGCGATATATGGAGAACTTGATACGGACTTTTGTTGAAAATAATATGGTAGATGTTTTAAATGTATAAATAAAATTTTATTTAAAGAAGAAAATAAAAAATAAAGGCGTATTTGAAGGTAGAAAAACAATTTTAATTATGCAATCGGAAAAGTGTTCATAGTTGTGACAAGAACGCATAAAACAAGGACGTCACATACCAAAAGTTTACACTAAAGAAATTACACAAAACTCATGGCGTCTTCTTTCGTTTTTTAGAATATTATGAAATGAGCTATTTCATTCAAAATTGATTTAGATCTACGTGCGCTATGAAATGTATACAATACAATTTTCTCGGCCTAAACTTATAAAATCAACTTTATGAATCTGGAATCTAGATCTAGACTAGATCTACAGAAAAACTAGACGTAGAAGCTAAGATCTAGATTTAGACTATCTACTCTAGAACCAATTCCCATAATAAATTTCTATATAAAACTAATTCAGTCCTTAATTATTGTATAGAAATCTTTGTTTGTTTAGCTATGCAATTGGCCAACTTGGGATAAAATTTAATTTGAAAGAATAGGGCTTTTCGCGGAAGTTAAGTTTATTAAATAGGTCTTTTATTATTCATTAATCACAAGGTGCTTAAATAGCTGAGATGAAAGTGAAATCGATACCATACGAGTTGTACGGGTTCGAGACACACCAAGTCAATCTTAATTTTTTTTTCAATTTTTTTTAATATGTTGGTGATAAAGTTGCCTATCGGGATTTGGCGGGACACGGGGCAAGTGAAGTAGAGTTAACCTGTTTCTGTCTTTTAAGCATATGAAGGGATAGTATGGTCAGACCCATGCTCAGCCGAAATATGTGTTTTTAAAAGACAAAAACAACATAATTACCAGTGAACAGCCGGGTTTTTAAAGAAATCTCTTACGTCACTTAATTTTAAGTCTCTTAATCAGCGAGTGCATTTAATATGGTATAGTTACAGATAAAGAAATGTACTTTATCCTTAAATCTATAGATATATACATAAAAAAACTAATAAAAATAAATCACTTTAAAAACAAGAAGAATATAATTGAATAGCCAATTTTTAACGGAATCAGTTAAGTCACTTAATCAATGTGTGCCTGTGTTACGTTAAATGTGTCTGATTTTTAGCTAATTAGTTATTTCTTGCTTTGTCATTAATATCGTTCAGCGTGTAGTAAAGCACATTGCGTTTTGACCAATAACTATTTTATAAATTATTTTTCTCAAACAAGTACACCATTTTAAAATATATAGGCCTATAATTCACGTGAAACGGGTACCGATGGCTAGTGAGAATATAGTAGATGAATGACTGGGTCGTTGGAACCGGGACTTTTTATATTCGTAATTGTATATATATATATATATATATATATATATATATATATATATATATATATATATATATATTGTATTTATGTATTGAAATGTCTGTGTCAAAGTGTCAAGTGGACAAAGCTATGGCCATAGACGTGTGCTTTGACCAGCACGACAACGGGGAGATAACCCTTGTTAACACCGACAAGATGGCCGCTCTACCTGAAGGTACTCAGTGCAAGTTGAAACAGGAGGGAGGGAGTTTAACGGTGGTCTTGTGTGAGGACAACGACTGGAGGCTCAAAGGTAATGTGACGTCATAGGATCAATGGTCACATGACGTCATATGATTAGAGGTGACACAATACGATCACAGATGCTATCACCCTGTGATATAGGAGTTTTGAGGGCGGTAGGGGTTCAGTACTCACATTTTACTTAATCAAAATTCTCGCATAAATAAATATATGTTATAGCCAAAGCCCGAAGAGCGGCCAGTTTTAAACCTGAAGCGACAGATGCGCTTCGCTAATGTCAGAAGCGCTTAAAATTAATAAATTATCAGTATATTTCTTATAGGTTACGGTCAGGGTAGCGGTAGCGGCATAGTACCGATTACCGCAACTTTAACGGCAATGCAATTAAATAGTAACGGTACCGTAACGTAATGGTAGGATATAATAAACAATATGGATTGAGTAAAGATTAAGGATTAAGCATATGGTTTTGTTAGGAACAGTTAAAGGGGCTGGAGATGGCTAAGAGGAAAGAAATGGAAGGGGGGCAGGACGTTTAGGGGGCCCAATTCCGACCAAAAAAACAAAGAATTTTCTTTTCATAAATAATGTTTTTCGTTCACATTGATAGTGGTTTTGTAAAGAACAAACAGGTCTACAAACAGTGATTGTTCTACAGTAACTAAAACACACTTTTGCTTAGAAAAATATTTTAAAACTCTACACGAGCTGTAGTTTGGATGATAAGCAAAGGTCAGACTACTTCCATGACCTACTGTCCTTTTTAAAAACAGGGGTGCCCATAAAGCTCATTTAAACAGTTTTGTACTATGTGAAATAAAAAGCAATTGATTCTCTTAATTTTTATTTAAGACATACTACGGAATCGTACAGCTATGAAATTGAATATATTCAAAAATAATAAAATAAATTTAAAAATCATAAAAAAACATAACGCGAGAAACCAGTGCATCAGTCAAGCTTACATGTTCATGTACTTTTGACCAGCTTGACTGTTATCAAATAATTCTTTTAACAATTTTTGGTAGACATGAAATGCCATTCAAATAATTATTAAACACGATAATTGCAAGCCCGAATTAAGTTTGTACATATGTATGTCTGGATCGTTGTCTCAGGGTGGTTATAAATTGAAACGAAATATAGTACATGCTCAGGAATTATATTATTTCAAATTTAGTTATTAAGATGGCTACTAATATATATATATATATATATATATATATATATATATATATATATATATATATATATATATATATATATATATATATATATATATATATATATATATATATATATATATATGTATAGAAACACCTAGAAAAATAACACATTCTCAGAAAAATCATATTAAGTGATTACTCCTCAATTTTAATTGTTAATTACACGTAACAACAATAAGAATTTAAACATTTTAATTTCCCCCATTTTTTGTCTACTTCACGCAAAAATAAACAAAGAAAAAAATTTAGATAAAAAAATTATTCCTTTAAAATTTATACTAAACGGTTTTCAAATAAGTGTGAAAATTAATAAAAACAAGTTTTACCGCTTAATTATACACGTTAAAAGGGATGTAACTGGGTCAAGAATCTAGACTGTAATTTCTATATATTTTGATTAAATAAAAAAAATGAACCATAATAGCATGTAGATAAAAGAAACAGTTAAAAAATGTATTCTACATAATTTTCAAATTGGTGTGAAAATTAAACCATCGATATTAACTAATATTTGTATTTGCTAATTTCAAAACTTGCTAAGTTGACTTTTTGAAAATTGAAAGTTGTTCTTATAGCCAATTTTTTTTTTTTAAATAAAAGGATCAAAGTATTAAACTGATTTTGTTCAGAGAGATAAAAAAGTATTAAAGCAGTTACCCTTCAAATCATGTAAATGCTCCGATACCAGGTAAAATTGAACTCCCACCATACATAATGATCAGACTAACATTTTTTTGTACATTAAGAATGTCTTTAATTGATTTTTTTTATATTCCAAAACACCAGGCAAAGCAGGGTATATAATGCTAAATGAGCACATAAGTCACGGCCCTTTAACCAATAACATTTATCTCAAATGCCAATGCAGAGCCTGGCCGGCACGGCTAGTTAAATCGTATAACATCCTCTATCGCCACAACAACTGACTCTACTAATCCAATTAAAAATAAAAGTGTTGATTAAATAATTATTATATTATTGGTAATTATTTGTTTGACTAATTCTAGCCTTAGTAAAACCTGAAGTCATTTTGAGCTTATTTCTCAAATGTTATAAAATGTTCAATTTTGGTTGAATGATATGCTTTCTGGAAAAAACATTTTTAACCATTTTTAACCAGCTTTTCAAACCTGTGCTTATTTTAAGTTAGTTTTTAATTTAATTTGAAATATTCTGTACATATTATTTATGAGTATATGCTCAGTTTAAGCCTTTTGAATAATTTTACAAAGTTTGGCACATGAAAGTAAGTATTAACCAACAAAAAAATAGTGGAAAAAATTTTGATTGTCATGGAGACCCGAAAAAACCCCCGCCATTTTAATTTTTTTTTTCGATACTTGTAAAAACGCTATGGCCAGAGACGTATCCAGGGTTTTGGTGTAGGGGAGCGAAAATAGCAAATAAAAAAGGCGCCGAAGTTTTTGGTATATTTTAAAAAGGTAGGCCTATATATATTTATATATATATATATATATATATATATATATATATATATATATATATATATATATATATATATATATATATATATATATATATATATATATATATATATATATATATATATATATATGTTATGTCTCATTCATAATATATATGACAATACGGTTTCTGTTTTTACTATTATCATTCCACAAACCCAGCACCCACCAGATTAAGTAAAATAAACTGTGAGAATAGAAAGATGTAATAAATAAAGCATAACATTCAACAGTTAACAAGTCTAGTGCTAAATACAGACATAATGAATACAGTCGAAAGCGAAAAAGCCATACAAAACATCTCTACTAAAAATTAAACTGACCACATAATGTAGAATAAACTCAAATAATTTAAATATGAGCCCAAAACTATAATCTAAATATTATGAAGTGTTAATTATAACTTAAAAAAATAAACATAACTACATCACGTTCATTGGACAAAACGAACGAACGCGGTTGAGACCGAAATTCTCGGCTCAAAACAGCTAAGTTTGCGCGCGCACAGATAGACGGTTTGCACCGAGAAAACCGTCTATCTTTTTAAACCTGCTATAATTTTGTAAATATTTACAAAACTCATTTTAAAACGCTACAGGATAGTCGGTAGAGAGTTTCTACGGAGATATCATTAAAAAAATTGTATTAGAGCGATCGAGAAGGAAATAAACAGTTTTTTGTCTCTCCTGTAAAATTTACATTTTCGGAAATAGACGGTTTGCGACCGAGACCATCGATATATATATATATATATATATATATATATATATATATATATATATATATATATATATATATATATATATATATATATATATATATATATATATATATATATATATATATATGGTGACAGGACAAATGATCCCAGGACAAATGATCTCAAATACAAATGATTTCACGAACAAAATATACCCGGACAAAATATATCAGGACAAACGATATGGACAAATGATCTCAGACAAAATATCTTAGACAAAATATCTCACAGCACAATTTTAATAATATGTACGATGATTTTAGTTGATTTGAACTTTTTTAAATTGACTGCTAATATGGCTTCATATTTTCCTTGAGATCATTTGTCCTGAGATCATTTGTCATGGAACCATAAATATATGTATATATATATATATATATATATATATATATATATATATATATATATATATATATATATATATAAAGATATATATATAAAGATATATATATATATATATATATATATATATATATATATATATATATATATATATATATATATAACGTTTATCATAGCGACAATCTTCACTGGGGCTCTTTGGCTTTCTTCTCTCTTAAAATATTCCTTTAACATATTGACATGGCACAATTGTCTCTTCTTCTTCCTATCGGGGGTCTTTATCACGTAATTCAGGTCATCGTTCTTGGATTCGACCTCATATGGGCCGAAATATTTGGCTTGTAGTGTCTGACCTGGTATGGGGAGAAACACCAATACCTCATCTCCGGTGAGAACGAGCGGGCTTTCGCCTTCCTATCATACCATGTTTTCATTTTATTCTGTGATTGTTTCAAGTGAGATCGGGCCTGCCGACAAGCGTCACTTAGTTGATTCTTAAATCGAAGGACGTAATCTAGAAGACCTTCCTTACGTCACACATCTCCACTCTTCTTCTACTGATGCCTCGAGGGGGGGGGGGTGTCTCCTTCTTCTCATGAGCATGCCTTCTTTCAAATATTACCCATACGGACCCTGTTCTGTCTCTTCCAAAGACAGGGCATTCTCGCGGAGTTTGGCTATCTTCACATCCTTGGTCTGTTCTTCAATTAAATGTTCTTTTGTTGGTTTGCCCCGTCGTCTTGATGTTGATCCAAACTTGCAATGAATGTGTCCACCAGTTCTACCTCAGTGTCATCTCTTTTTTCAACGAAAATCGGTACTTGGGATATTTTTGAACTCATTGTCCTGGTAAGGGCGCCAATTTACCCGATTTACCCCCTGTCTTATTCCGTGGCACAGCGCACAATCTCCGGTCTCCGTAGATGCCGATAGGGGTAGGACTCCCTCCAGTATTAATGACTGAGCCGCACCAGTATCTCCGTATACGGATGGGTCGCAACTTCGTCGACTCCTTTGGTAGTGATACAAATCCTTCCGAAATAAAAGGACCAAATTCTTGCCAGGAGGTTTTCTGCATTCTGGCCATGGGTGCACTAGCTCCCCTCAGATCTTTCTCCTTGAGACTCTCGGTGATCTCACCTGAAACTTCACAGAAGCCTTTAAAGTCCACCTCTTTTCTTGTTGAAACTTCCGTCTCTGTTTGTATTTTCGACAAATCTGATCGACCATCTGCTGACTGCCCAAGTTTTCTGCTGAGTTTGACGGGTGTGGGCCAATAGATTCTCTTTGGATATGATGTAGTACAGGCAACATCTTTACTCCTCTTTTTGTTACTTTTTGAGTTAAGTTACCAACCTTCGTTTCGTGTGTGCGCTTATTTGTGACAATAGGTGCAAACCTCTCGTTTTTTAACCTCACTTCTAGTAGAGGTTTGACCTCTTGGTGACGTTTCTGTGTCACTCTCCCTTCTTCTATTGTCTTATTTTCTGACTGAAGTGATTTCGGCGAATTGATGCGTAATGACATGGACATCAGCCAACTCTGCTGCTTTGTGCACATCCTCTTCTCTTCGGTCCGCTATGTGCCGGTATATGCAGCTTAATAACACACAAATGTCACTGTCCTTTACAGATACGTTTTTC